ACGCTACAGTGGGCTAACGTTAGCCATTAGCAACTGGATGCTGTTTTGTCATATATAACATTATTGTTACGAGAATGACTGATAGTTTGACTCTGGTCGTGTCTAGGCAACTTCATTCTCTAACATAGAGTGTGCAGAGCGGAAACATGGCTGGCTGGCAGTGGGGTTGTGCGTGGGGCTTACCTTTAAACAGCAACAACAGCGAGCTCGGACGAGGCTCCCCACGAGCGGCCAGCCCAGGCGATGTCGTGGCAGACAGATATTGTTCAAGTTTTTATAAATGTGTTGGTCAAAACAAAACTAACACAACACAAAACTGAAGGAAGTCGGCGGTCAGGTTCACCGAGTGAAAAACCACGGTGCTGTCCTCAGGTCTCTCGGTAGTGCAGTCCTCTTTCACTGTTTCTGAAGACGCTCATTATTACACCTGGACCACGGAGTTAATTGATAAGCCCCGCCCACTACCAACCAGCCAGATGAGAAGGAAGTAATGTGTGTTCCTACCAAGAGCCTACAGCTCAACCTAACAATTATGAATTGAACTGAACTTCTTTATTTGTCATTTTTATGTGCAGCACAAAAAAACAAACTGACATTTCGCATACCCAAAGCAAAAAGAAACAAAACATTTAAAAACAATTTGTGTAACATACAAGAAAGAACATATAGTGCAATAGTAAGATTAAAAGGGTCGACATTTCATAGTCAAAAACTCCACATCCTGAGAGCAGAACTGGGAGATCCTCTTCCCATCACAGCACCATGAATTGTTTGTGTATACACCACGGAGCTTACCAGGCGATGTAACCTCCCTGTCTACTCTATGTAGTGTTAGCCTCCTTAGCTCAACACTGGCGTTTTATATGTTACCATTCATCCATGTCTCAGTGAACACAAGGACACAGCAGTCCCTCACTCCTCAGTCGTGTCCAGTGAGCGGACGTTCGCCAGAAGGCCGCTGGGAACAACTGGTTTGATGGGGTTAGCTGTTAGCATAGAGCTAACCCCTCTGCGCTTCCCCGCTCCTGCGTCCTGTTACAGCGCTGCCGGCATCTTCCTTTCGGGACAGCTCCAGGCGAAACCATGGTCATCTCAGGTTACTAGTTTATATCCACAAGTGTCCCTGTTACTACTTTATATCCACAAGTGTCCCTGTTACTAGCATATTTCTTGTCTCACAGACTCGGGGGGGGGTTACCCGAGCGGTTACGTCTGTCGGAGGCCTCCACGTGGGGAAGACAGACAGGACAGGAGAAAACTCCGACCAATCATTGCATTGGGTCCGAATGCAGTGATTGGTCAGAGTTTTCTTAGAACCATATGAGAATGGTATAATTATGAGTTTTCATCTCTGGTGGAATTCACTTACATTTTAGTGTGCCATCAGCTTATTAATAGCATTTTAACCTAAACAAAGAAAAGTGTAAAATTTCCAGAAAGGTAAGTGTTGCTTTAATCTTGGAAAGCTATTGATGTAGCACTTTTCTGCTTATGAAAGTAACACAGTGATTATTCAACCATTGAGAATTTGGTCAGATGCCAGCATATCGACCAGATAATCGACTAGTCGACCAGGAGACTACAGCCCTATTTTATACTTTGTAATTTTAAAATAAACTAGAATTAAAGTTCTGAACGGGGTCCAAGCCTCTCCGCACAACTCAGCCTCCACGCCCCATAGAGCCCACGATAGTTGTCAAAAGTGATGATAGTCTTGGTTTTTCGGCCGTCTGCAGTCGTCTCCTCGAACTCCTCGCTCAGCTTGAACTTGATCTCAGTGGTCTTCAAAGTCGTCTCAGACGGGCTCGGGGTGAGCGTCAGGACACAGGCCAACATCTGAGCTGCAGTATTCACCGTAATGGGAAGTGCACTGGAAGTACCAAAGCCTGAATGCGTTTATTGCAATAAGTCACACCCACTTTGACCAATCATTACCAAACTATATGGCTGGCCTCAGGACTGAACCCACACCATGCTCACCAAATTTCGTACAAATCCGATCAACTTTTAAGAAACATGATATTTCTGGGTTGACACGGTCCACTAGTGGCCAGTTTGCACCAGTTTTGGCACAGAGCCTCTGAATGTCCTCTGGAACAAGCGTACTAAGTGTCATTTTGATATCATTTAGTCTGACAAAAATATGCAACAATATGTGTATTTTAGCTAGCAAAAAGATTTTGTCGTTAATAATTCGCACATTTTTTGACCAGGCAAAATTCTTTTGATAATTTTAGATCAGGTCTTTCTCAAGAGTCTAGGTGCCAAGTTTTATGCAGTTTGGACAAAATCTGTAGGAGGAGTTTGAAAAAGTAGGTCTTGGATGTGTAGCAACTTAGCGAAGGAAATGTGTGACGGAAGTGGGCGAGGCCTATGTCAGAAAGTTCAGCACTATTTAGGGAATACGTGGATATAAAGTTTATGAATATGTGATGTAAAATGTGGAAGTTACAGGAAAAAACACATTTACATCTGTTATAGTGCCACCTAGTGGAGTATGTGTGTAATTTTTGGTAAGGGAGGGCTGTGGCCTAGTCTACATGTACTCATTAAATTTCACAGCCCTCAGTACAATAGTTCAGCTGAAATAAGTGTTTGTTTTTTATTTTGTAATAAGCCACGCCCACTTTGACCACTCATGACCACCTTCAATATATGGCCTCAGGAATGACCCTACATAATACCCACCAAATTTCATAAAAATCGGTGTAGCCGTTTAGGAGATATAAACTTCCCATGTTTAGAGCACCCCCTAGTGCCCAATGTTGACCAACTTCGGTTCACACCCTCACAGTCACATAGTTACTAATGATCTAAGGTTTGGGTTGATAACTTTTTTTTTTTTTTCTTTTTTTTTTTTTCTCCTCCTTTTCTTCGTTGGTCTTCTTTGCTTTGTGCCACTAAAGGGTGTAAGCTTCTTGTGAAGGTTGATGCACTGTTAATCTTGCAGTCAAGTATTTTATACCCATAATGCGTGGTTGTGACCGTCACCCACCCTCCCTGGAGACTAGCCTAACAGCCTTTATTGGAAAAACTTCCTAATATGAGACAGAGAGGGCCGTGATACACCAAAGTGTGTCAAGGGGAAAGTAAGGAAACAAGCAAGGGGGAGGGGGCAGGTGCTTAAGTCCTGAGTTATATAGTGACAGTGCATGCGGAGAAGAAGGCGGAAAAACAAACAAACAAATAAACAAACAAACAAAAAAAAAAACGGGAGAAACAGGCAATGTAGCTGATGTATTGTGGCCTTGAGGTGGTTGTGCTCCATGCAGATTATCGAAAATAAACATATACATGTCTACTATACTGTACTGAAAAACAAAAACAAAAGAGAAGTCTATACTGAACACCAAAAATGTGAGAGTCTTGGTGGAGGGGGAAAGCCCGATTGCAGAGAAGAGTTGCCAGCGCAGTGTGGTAGGTTTGAGAAGCAAGTGGGCCCCTTTGGAGTGATCCCATCGGTTCTTTGCGATGCGTCATGGAGCTGAAGTATCGAACATGCATGCGTGTATTTGAACCCTCCCAATGTGTTTATGAAAACCATCACCAGGGTCCAGGGCCAGCCCTGCGGGGGAAGGGGGGCGGTATGGCACCCCAAGACCGCAGGAGCGCCCAGACCCCAAGACCAGGGAGCCGCAGAGGCCGCAGGACACCACGCAGGCGCAAGGACCCGGGGCGGCAATGGCCGGCACCCCCAGAGAGCCAGAGACACACCCCAGACAGGCGGGGCAGGAGGGCCCGCCCACCCACCGCCCGACGCGGACACGTGGTGCATTAAAATTGAGGGACATTGGAGACAGGTGGGGGCAAGGCTGATGGCTACAGCACACTGCTGTCCTGCAGCCCATGCAGCCATAGGCACCTGGAACTTGTTCCCATCTGTCCCACAAGATGTAGGTGTATGTGGTGCTTTAAAATTGGAGGACAGATTAGGATGGGCCGGGGGGCAGCATGGAGGGCTACCGGACACCACTGTCCCATAGCCTGCCCCATCATGAAGCCCCCCAATCCATCAGTGGTCTGCACCTCGAAGAGTGAGTGTATGTGGTGCATTAAAACTGTGGAATGTGTGGTGAGTGAACTAAATGTGGTTTAGGAGGCCAGGCCAGTGTAGGCCCGGCCCGAGGGCTGGAGGGATGGATGGGAGGGGCTAGAGGGTGGCGCCAACCAGACAACCAGATAGCTTTTAATTTGACAAAGATAAGGAACAGTTCAGTTGCGTTTTCATAGCTAGCTACAAAAATTTGTTCGTCAGTAATTCTCAAATTTTTTGATCGGGCAAAATTCTTTGATAACTTTGGATCAGGTCCATCTTGTGAGTGCAGGTGCCAAATTTCATGTAGTTCGGACAAAATCTCTAGGAGGAATTTTTGGCGGGCAAAAAGTTAGCCGGAAGTGGGCGGGGCCATGGACATTCAGGGAATCCATGGATATAAGGATTTTGAATGTACGACATACCGTGTGGGAGTTACATGCCAAAACGTGTTGGCCTTGATTGTAGCGCCCCCTGTAGGTGCACATGCAGGAGTCTGGACCAACCCTCCAAATTGCACCGCCCTCCCTTGTGCAGTGTACCCTGCAGCACCACTTTTACTTCCAGAAAAATAATAAGATGTATAATAATAATAATAAAAACCTGAACAAAAACAATAGGGTTTCCAGCACCGCTGGTCCTGGGAAACGTCCCCAAGGGCTTGGACCCATAATAAAATCAAATAAAAAAATATATAAAATAAATAAAACATTAAGGAACAGGTTGGATGCAGGGATTCTTTCTGTATGAAATGAAGAGCTATTTAATGGCTGGGCATATACATTGGATACATTTTAATAACTTGAATAAGCTGTATTATCTAGGAAAATCTAAGTATTGGGTCAGGACACTGTAACGGTAGTTATTCAGTATTAAATGTTTCAGACTTGATCACGGACATCCCTAGTTATTTGGCTAGAAGACAGAAGGTTTTATTTGTGTGACTATTTGTGTGTTTGTCATTTAGAACAGCCCAGCCAAATTGGCCCAGGCCCTTCCCACAGACTGGTTGATCTACGATGAGATGAGCCGAGGTCACAGGATGGCCACTGTCCGCTGTTGCTCCGTGGTGACTCCCATCACCGTGGCCATATTTACAGGCGGTGCAATACAACCCAGCTCTGCCCTGCAGGAACCTGCTGTACAGAAAGCTAAAGGTAAACAATTTATAAATGATTAATCAACCATGCTTGCAACATGGGCTAAATATGACTATGTCGGGCTTTAAGTCCAAAACTCACAGCAAGATTTCCCTGAAAGTTTCTTGTGTGGTCCCGTGTGTTTCGCAGTTGTGAGGTTGGTTGGATGTACTGCCAAATTTACAGATGCGATATTGGAGATGTCTTATGGTAGTGAAATGAACATTCCGTTCATGGGCAACAGCTCTGGTGGCCATTCCTGCAGTTAGCATGCCAAAGACACGCTCCCTCAAAACTTGTAACATCTGTGGCATTGTGTTGTGTGATCAAACTGCATATTTTAGAGTGTCCTTTTGTTGTGACCATTCCAAGGCACCCGTGTGGTAAGTCAGGTGGGTGCATTATCTTGGACAAGGAGAAGTGCTCACTGACATGGAGTTTAACTAATTTGTGTTCAGAATTTGAGAGAAATGAATCTATTGATTGCATAAAAAGTCTGAGATCTTTACATAAAACGTGTGAAAAATGGGAGCAAAAACAAAAGTGTTGAGTTATAATTTTTTTAATTATAAAAAGACGTAATCACAGTAAAACTTTCACTGACCTTGATGCTGCTTTCTACTGTTTTCTGGACTGTCAGTGACGTTAAATGTGACACACAATTGAATTAAAAAAAAAACAAACTAAAAGGCACGCTCATCTGCTGCAGAGCTGTGTTCACAGCTCTAGTTTACTGGCAATGGGAAATTAGTCTATAGTCCATGTTTGAAAATCCCACTTACACATGCAAATTCTGGTGGAAAAGTAGTATAATAACTGAATTGGGTGTAAATCAAGTAGGGATGCACCGAATATTCGGTAACCGAATATATTTGTCCTAATATTGCAAAAAAACACATATTTGGTATTCGGTGGAATAAGTTAAAAGCAAGGCCGAATAATAGCGGTGTGTTTTGATGACGCAATCAAACACCATGCTGTGACGGGCGGAGTAAAATGTCGGCAGTGTGGCGATCCGTCCGTCATCGCACTCGCATTTGCGACTAAAAATAGTTCTGAGCAAGGAAAATAGGCTTAAATCATTCAGCACGCTGTGCGAGCAGCCTACAGATTTCAACCAGCAGCAGAAACGAAAGGCAAATCCCACCGATTGTGGGTTGAACGGGGGTCATAGACACAGACAGTAATGTATCCCTGTCAAATACGGCGGCCATCGGCTTACTGGCAATGGAGAAGTCCGGCTCCAATAATATCCTTTTCTTGGCGTCATGACTGCCCAGAAGTACCTGAACAGCCGAGCCAGCCGAACACAGGTATGTGGCGTGTCAGAGGAGAAACAAGCCATTCACATTTCTCTCTTTGTGGCAGTAACGGCTCACAAACCTCACCGCACTTTAGGGACTGTTCATTACTTATGAAGGGACTTGTCAGGGGAGGAGGGTGGCTGGTTGATTTTTATTTTATTTATTTATTTTATTTTGATCCCCCCTATGTTAATCACTGATTGATGCTGTTTTTGAAGTATGAATAAGTCAATAAGTAATTTATTCCATTGAAATATCATTGATGTATTATAGAAAAGTGATTTATCTTTTTATAAATGACAAAAGGCACATCTGCCTCATTTTCGTTGTAATATCGTGATACTACTCAGAACCATGATACTTTCACTGGTATCGTATCGTGGGTCCCAATTTTGGTACCGTGACAACACTAATCTGGAGGGTGTTCATCTGCAAAAACTAATGAAAAACTAAACAACGATATTCGGTATTCGGTACTCAGTATTCAGCCAAGCGTTTAATATTATTCGGCTTCGGCCACAAATTTTCATTTCGGTGCATCCCAACACTGTCCAGGTGGTTGAGTACTCTCTCCCAGAGAGATGGGTCTGGCCTCCCTTGAATCTTTCAAATATTACCTCCTCCCCTGACCCTGGGATTATGTCACCATCTGGCAGGTTTGGTTTTCTAGAACTACTCTGAGGTCAGTTGAAAGATGTCATGCCCTTCCCAGATTTTACAAGTCTTGACCATTATTAAAATAACTTAAAAAAATGTACTCCATGTAGTATTTTACATTTTTTTCCAAACATTTTAAGACATTTAATATTTTAAATTTCATTGTGTTTTAGAAAGCACTCTTTCCTGATGAGTGCTTTATGACAGAAGTTGATGTAGAAGCTTGCCTGTGCAGATTCAGTCTTTGTCTCTGTTCTTTCCTTCAGACAGTCTGCTTGTTGACACCAGTGACAGTGAGACAGAGGACCTAGCTGAAATGAGAGTTGATGATTGGCTCATCTTCCAGTTGGACAGAGAGGTGAGGGAACATTGCTGTCAATACTGACCTTTAAACCTTTTAAATTTTAGTTTATGAACTTTAATATGATTTTATCTTGTATGACAACATTTGTATTATGTTCTATGTCAGTGGTTCCTAGACTATTTATGTGTTGTATGTTTATGACACAATCACTAGGGGTGGAGGAAAAAAATCAAAACAGCATAGAATCATGATATTTTTATTTAGCAATGTTGTATCGTGACATTGTGCCAAGTATCAATTTTATATTATATGAATTATTAATATGACAAATACAGATTAAACTTTAAGGTAGCCTACTTGAATAACGTAATCAATTGACCCACTCGTTTAGGCCACGACAAAGAAGGGAGGGCCACACAGAAAGCTTAAGTTTTAAACGATGATTTTACTTGAAATTATAACAAATAATTACAAGAACAATAAAAAGTATGAAATGTGAAGTCCGTAATCAGTATGAGACAGAAATGTTGGATGCAATGAAAGCCGTGTGTGTGTGTGTGTGTGTGTGTGTGTGTGTGTGTGTGTTACAAAACAAAATAACTGAACCAAACAGAAACTAGCAGGATCTTAGCTGTCCGGGTAAGAGAGAGAATGAACTGAGGAAGCCAGTCAGCAATCTCAGGTAGAGGTGGAGCCTCCTAACAAGCAGAGGCAGAGCTTCCCAGCAACCAGGAAGGTAAATATACGGGAGATCAGCATAGTAGACAGCAGTGAAACCAGCCCAAGCCCAGCACCTGTAAAAGACGGCAAACAGACAGGAAAACAAACACGGCCATGGCCGTCACAGTCCCCCCCCCTCATAAAAAGGAGACCCTTTAGGGGCTTCGTAAAAGTCCTCTCTAGGTCCGAGACAGAGCATCTGCCATCACATTCTCCCGACCTTTGATATGACAAATGTTCAGACTAAATGGTTGTAAAAAATAGTGACCAGCGCATAAGCCTTTGAGTATTGTTTTGCATACTAGACAGAAAAGTAAGAGGGTTATGATCAGTGTACAGAGTAATCTGCATCATTCCAGACCCCACATACACTTCAGAAAACTGAAGGGCCCAAATTAATGCCAGAATCTCCTCCTCAGCAACTGAATAGTTCAATTGGTGACGTTTGAACTTATGTGAGAAGAAACAGACTGGATGGTCAATACCCCTTCACCCTCCTGTAGAAGTACTGCTCCTGCACCAACTCCGCTGGCATCGACCAGAATCTTGAAGGGTTTTTTCAAGTTAGGAGCTGCAAGCACAGGAGAGCAACAGAGAAGGTTTTTCACAGCAACAAAAGCAGCTTGACGCTGGGGAGACCACTCAAATACAGCTTTCTTGCTCACAAGGTTAGTTAGTGGAGCAGTGGAGAGGTTCTGACAAAAACAGCGATAAAACCCCACCAACCCCAAAAACCTTCCCAGCTCTCTTTTTGTTGTTGGCACAGTTGTTGTCAATGGCTTCCACTTTAGTCCTCACTGGACTAGGGCTGTACCCAAATATTCGGATATTCGAATATTTGTTTCTATGGGTAGGTATTCGTTATGAAAATTTGATATTCAATATTCATTTTTTTATTTACTTTTTCATTTACACACTTGAGCGCATCCGTCTGAGGCTGTGGATCAATGCCAAGTTTTACCACTTTATCACTATTCCCTCGAACTTGTAGCTGTTTTTTCGTTATCTTTTGAATTTAAAATGAATTATGGAACTGTTTTTGTCAACGTTTGTTTCCTCTGTTTTGTACAATAAATTATTGTTTAAAGTTTAAACAAGTTTCTTTTGGAGTGCGTGACACAAGTGTGTTTTGAAAACAGCTGCGGACTGTCACCTGCTCAACGCATCAGTACCTTCGGATGCCATGACAGTAATAGCCAATAATGTCAAAATATCATTTACAGACCAATTTAACAGACGATCACTGCTGCCCGACCCGCAGGTCCATTTGCGGGTTATGGGTCGACCTGTGCATCACTACTCAGCTCAGTCTATAAAGGCTGTACACACAACAGTAAGGCTATAGACATTATATTCTATTCAGGCCGGCAGAACCAGCAGCGCATCGGCTCTACAGTGCACGGCACTGCTGATTAACCATTTTATTGCAGCACAGTAAACCAATAAACATGGCGAAGCCCAGCTGGATGATGTCGGCTCTGCTGTACCATTATCTATCATGTACTCCATCTCCTTCTCCATGGGCTTTCTCTTCTCTATAGGAACGCGATAGAAATGTTGTTTAATGGGTTTAACATCCCCAACATCTATGTCATGCTGGATAAGGTGAGTGCATGACGGGGTGTCTGAAAACAGAGAGAGGTGGGAATTAATAAACTGAATTAAGTCTGTTAGTTGAGGACCTGACAAATAACTCAACTGAGTCTCCAAGTTGTTTAAATAAGCTTATTTAGTTTCCCCATAACACTCTCTTCTGATGGGACCACAAAGTCTTCGGATGACATACTAGCCAACCTTGCAACAGCCAAGACAACTTTGGACTCACCCTCTTGCAGTGATGCAACACTACCCCCCTTCACAGCCCCAACATCTGCCTGCCCATAATATGGCGTCAGTAGATTGATATGACACCATTGACACCTTTCTTTCTCCTCACAGGTGTATGGATAAGGTAGTCGCACTCAGACATCATGCTCTTAACTGTGTACGGTCCATGAAACTTTGCCTGAAAAGGAGAGCCTACAATTGGCAGCAGTGCCAAAACTTGATCACCTGGCTGAAACTGGCGAGCTTTAGCCTTCTGATCAAAAAGATCCTTCATTTTCTCCTGAGCCACACCAAGCTTCTTCCGGGCAGTTGTTCAAGCAGTATACAAACAGCAATGAAAGTCATTCACATAAGTCAGAATGTTGTCAGGAGGATCAACACTTTTCCAGTGATCAGTTTAAACTGCCAAAGGACCACGGACTTTGTGACCAAAAATCAACTCATTCGGGCTAAACCCTGTACTCTCTTGGCAAACCTCTCGCACTGCGAGCAACAGCCAGGGAAGACCTTCCTCCCAATCATGGGACAGCTCAGTACAATAAGACCTCAGCAATGACTTTAAAGTTTGGTGAAACCTCTCCAGAGCTCCTCGAGACTCTGGATGATAAGCACTTGAGATATTATGTTGCACCTGAAGCTGCTTCAGCACCTGAGCAGACATGAAGTTACCTCCCTGATCTGTTTGTATGACCTTTGGAATGCCAAAAGTATGAAACTAGTCAGAGCTTTTATCACAGGCTTAACCTTAATAGAGCGTAGAGGAAATGCTGCTGGGTATCTAGTACTCTTGCATGTAACAGTTAACAAGTAACAGTTGCCATTTTTACTCTTTGGCAGTGGACCCACACAGTCCACAAGTGCTCAAATGGGTTTTCCACTACTGTAATTGGACACAATGGAGCTGGCTTGATCTTCTGGTTGGGCTTGCCAGTCAGTTGACATGTGTGACACATTTTACAATATGCTGACACATCACACTTCAACAGAGGCCAAAAGAAATGATGAAGCACACGATCATAGGTCTTTTTCACTCCCAAGTGCCCAGCCACACATCATGTGACATGCGTAACACCAACTGCCTGAATGTAGCTTGCACCACAACCTGAGTCACCTGGTCCACTTCCACATTGTCAACAACACGAGACCATTTCCTCAGCAGCACACCCTCTTGAAGAAAGTAGCAATTTTTCAGCTCCCCTGCCTTGCTCATAGGGCAAACCATGTCAAACAGAGGTGTTAAAGTGGGGTCTATTGCCTGCTCTGAAATGAGCTCCTCTCTACTGATGGATGGCAAAGGGCAAGGGCACAGCAAAGGCTTATCCTGGACTTTCTCAGGCAGCTGCCCCTGAGAACACAACTCTGAGGAATCAGCTTGTGTTGACTCCCCACTGTTGTCTGAACTAGCCTTGCTCATTGCTCGAGTCACAGCACACACAGTGAAAGCATTAGAATGTTGTCTTGCACACTGATCCAGCTCATCAAAACACCTAGGTGAAGCTGTCACTACCAGTGGTGGTAGAACATCTTTCCACACCTTCGCCCCAGCCAAGTCATTACCCAGGATAATGTCCACCCTGTCCATAGACAGTAAGTTGCAAACCCCCATGACCACTTCGCCATTAACCAACTCAGAAAACAGGTTAAGCCGATGCAAAGGTACAATTAAGGGGACCAAACTAATGCCAGGAACTGGAGTAGTACCACCTGTGTCAGTAGCTGATGAAAATGGCAGTAACCCCTAGAAGATGAAACTCCTGTGATGTGATGCCCCTGTATCTCGCAAAATTTTAACAGGCCTCCGCTCACCATCACCAAGAGAGACGAAACCCTCTGTCATGAAAGGGGCATAAATCTCATCATCCTCCTTTGGCAACACTACAGGAGTTGATTCAGACACCGCTTAATACAACCTTGACGACACTGGAGCCACAGCACCAGCAGACTTCACATACACACTAGACTCAGTTGAACTTCGATCCGACCTAGAAAGTGGACATTCCCCTTTCCAGTGACCCTTATTCTTACAGGAATGACAGACCCTCCCCAGATCAAATTTCCCATCTGTCCCTGGAACACTTCTGACACTGGCCTGAGAACCTTGCTGAGCCCAAACAAACTTGCATGGATTAGACCTCCCATTCTCTTTTTTCATGACATTTACACCATATTTACGCTGTTCTGAGCCACCAGCATGGGGTCAACACATAATCATCTGCTAAGACTGCAGCTGCTGAAGCTGTCTTAACCTTGTTCTCATTAATATACACTGCAATGTGGTGTGGAACAGAGTTTTTGAATTGTTCCAAAACAATGACATCACCCAAATCCTCATAGCTATTTACAGTAGAGGCAGAGCACCAGCGAGCAAAGTGAGCTGAAATATCATGTGCAAACTCAACATGAGTTTGCCTGTCACCCTTCTTCTAGCTTCTAAACCTCTGCCTATATGCCTCTGGCACCAATTCATATGCTTTCAACACTGCAACCTTCACTTTGGCATAATCCAA